TTCTTGCCCACAGTAGTTAACGCACAGTTTTTTTTCAGAGGGAGAGATTCAATTATTTCTTCTAAGTAAAAATGATCAAAATAAACCTTGGCACACAAAAACTAACTTCTCAAGAATGCTGTGAAATGACCAAAACACATACGTTGTTTTGAAAATGTTCTAGTGGTCTCATATAAAATACCCTCCAAAATTAAAATATCTGTTTCAAACCCAACGGGCGTCGACATCTGATCGATTGAGGAATATCTTAGTGAAAACTCTACATTTGTTGTGGTTCATAGACGGACTGAGAGACATTTTGTCGTCAATCTATTTTTCGGTATCAAGGACCCAATAAACATGTATTCTGACTACTAAACGTTCCAGAGGTTGGGAGACGATTTATCAACTTTTTCTTAACCGGGCCAGGCTACAAGAGTTGTTCTGTCGAAACTTCGCTGCTTTTTGTCGCAGCATTATAATATTTTCTCTATACTGCGTAATCAGTAGCGAGAAAGCAAAAGCAATCTAAGAAGGTTATACATATTGTGGACAAATTTTATAAACTATAATAATATTAATTTTTAATTCTAAAAATATGAAAGCTATTTCTCGTCCATTACAATCGAAATTGAGCCCTGTTGTAAAAAATATGGGATTTTATTCAGAAATAACCATAGACACCAACTACCTATTTTCAAATATCACTAAAGATCTACACACTGCCGTTTATTCTCTTACTTTGGCTTAATTCACAAATACCTCAACAAGGCTCTTAATAGACAAATACATTATATAAATTATTATATTAATTTCATGATAAACAATAATACATTATTCTAGCAAATGTGCATTCACACTTTTACGAATATCGCACGAGATATTTGATGCGCTTCTGTCTCCATTATCTTATTTGCTTCCTGTCACGAGCTAACAAATAAAGGAACTTGAATGTAAGGGAAATTTCCTGTTCCAAGAGGTTCATTTTCTTTTCATAATCACTAGAATGACTTCCCATATTTAAAACCATTGATTTTTTCTTTCTCGCGCTTCAGAAGGAACTTTACAAGAAGAAAAAGTTATGTAATTAATGCTGCGCGCAAAAACGGCGATTTTCGGCAGAAAAACTCTTACTACAGGGCCCTGGTAGCGAAGAAGTGGATAAATCTAGTTGCTCAATTTAGAAAAAAGTCCTCTAGCATGCAATGTGGCCAAAATCCATGTTTTGTGGGTCCTTGCTACCGAAAAGTCGATTGACGCCAAAACGTCTATCTCTGTCCGTCCGTCTGTCCGCCTGTGAACAACGCTACCGGCTAAACCGTTCAGCCGATTTTATCCAAAATTGTTATTCCCCGAACAGTCTGGCTGATGTGGCCACTTGAATTTGAAATCGTTATTAATTTGGGGGGGGGGTACTTTATGTAAAGCCTCTGGAACTTGTTTTTTTACAATGGCAAAAAAAACTGTGTTAGTGAATAGTCTGGAGAACGTTTAAGAGAATGGCGCAGGACTCGTGTTAGTTGAAAACTCTAATTTTTCGAAAACTGCAAATATTCAAAATTTTTAGGCGGCTTTGTACAATTGAAATATTAAAAAATATTCTTTCTCTTAATAAAATCTGTTTCTTGTAAACAGATTTTGAAATAAGGTCATGTACAATTTTTCGAAAACTTGAGAATATTTAGCGTAATTTTGCGTGAAATATAGGCAAATTTTAATTTTTGTTTAAACATTTTTTTTCAAAAACCGCTCTGAAGAACGTTTAAGAGAATGATGTAGATCTCATGTTGGTTGAAATCCCTGATTTTGCGACTATTGAAATAATTCAAAATATTTTCGGCGCCTTCCTAGAACTAATGAATATGAAGACTGAACATGCAACTGAATTATGAAGATACCTTTTTTTCTTAGTGAAATGTGTTCATCTATAACAGATCTTTCAGTTTCTCGTACTGAATTGCTACGAATTGAATAAAATAACTAATGGTGCTTTTATTCAATATATGCTTTCCTGAATTAGTTTTCTATTTCCTTTGGCCTCGGTTAGCTATTCGGACTTGCCCCATCCTCTTGCCAGCTGCCATCGCAACCCAAAGTACATTTTTTTGATTTCTTTTATTTTCGTTTTCTAATAGTGCATCTGAAATATTTTATTAACATTAAAGAACAGTAAAACCTTGTCCTAAATTACTATTAACTTTGAAAAATTTAATACCGTTCTTAAGAAAATGTCGCTTAAGCGCTACTGTAAATTCCAAATTTGAAGCTCTTTTTCTTAGACCATTTTTTAGTTTTCGAAGAACTATAGATTCATTGAAGTACTTTAACTCACAAATACAATAATGTTTACAAATTCCTGCGCATATTAACAGCGTAATATCTTTCAAAAAAATTACATCTATATAATTTTTGAAAAAACAAAAAAAAAGTAATGAACTTTACGTCATACTAAAGAGAGCTATGAGCACTATCCGTTCGAAAAGTTTGGACAAAAAAGGGAAGCCTTTTTTGAGAAAATGGCGATTGAACGTTTCTGAAAGTGCGGAATGTCGAGCTAGTTTTCGCAGAAAACTGTTGAGTTTTCGAGAAACTTTACATGACATTATTTAAGACACATGCACCGAATACAAAAATGTAAACAAATTGCAGCTAATATACATATTAACGACGTGAGAGACAAGTAAAAAAATACATTTCTATACATTTAGGGGAAAAAACAACAACATAGAATAGGGCAATACGGCGTTTATGTCATCTTATAGAGTACATTTAACACTATCCCTTCCAAAATAGAAAGAAAATATTTAGAACCCTTTCTAAACCAATTTGGTTCTTGTTATTTTTTTAAATAGCAAGTATTGCACGCAATATTGCGCGATAACTACAAAGTTTCAAAAACACGTATATAACCTTACTGAAAAAAAAACGAAATATGGACAACAACGTATTAGTATAGAGATATCTGGCGACTGTGTATAATATACTACGACTAACTTAAAAGAGAGTTTAATCTGAACACATATGGAAATAAGAGGTTTTGCAAAGAATTGTTATTATTCACCAAACGAATGCACATAGTTTTGGCAACTCTGAGCTGGCAACAGTGCGTTGTTATCTTATCTATATTTTGCTGCAAATATTGTATCAGTCAAATGTATTCCTATTTGTTTCCTTTGTTCAAATAATAAATGATTGCTGCTCCTGACTATCGAAATGAATGCAGATATGCATCACAGACGCTTTGTTTTTGATTGGACGTTTTCAAGTATTGGCTTATGTGCTAGTAGAACAGAAAGAGAAATACTTCAATATTACGTAGCTGTTTTTAATAACTCGAGAAAGTATGTGCTGTTGTAGCACCACTTGTTAAGTAAGAAAACAACTTATCGTAGTGATTAATTTTTAAATCCGAGAATGATGAAGCGTCGGGAATGAACTTCTGAAGCATCTGACAAAACACCTCTATTAGGACAAGCGTCTTCTTATCGAATTGTTACATATTATTAAGTATAGAAATATGGTTTTCATTTACCTTAATAGTAAAACTTTATTACATGTACTCAAATCTTGTAAGCCCATTTACTCGTGAATATGTATAAGCTATGAACCGAATGGCGCGTTTCAAATAAGGATAATAATGTGAGCAAATGTGTTCACAGTTCAGTTCCCGGCTTTGCACTGGAGCTGGGGTTGCGACGTTGATACCAAAGACTCCTTCGATGCCTGGGAAGCCAAGAACGACGTGACTGTGCTAGAAGGTGAGTCTTGAGACTTTTTGCTCATTTTCTATTCCTTATTACGACGATATCGCGACTCGCTCTTGTGGGAACGACTTGCTCATCAAATGTTCTCTACATTAAAAGCATTATTTGAGTTTGGGAAGTTTCAGTTACAAGAGATAAAATAAATAAATCCAATGTAATGTTTTTCAATAAATTCACCCAAACTGTGCGAATTGTTGTAGAAAGCATTACGTCGTTCTTCGTGTAACTGTCCTCACACTATAAGGCCGCCATTACTTCCGCTATATAAGGTATATTTGATATATTTTCTTTGTGCTAACAGACACGTAGGTCATCAATGACGTCTGTTTTGAAAATGATAAAATTCACCAATTACGCCGAGGAAAGGCAAAATATTTTCTGCAATTCATTTTCCTCTTATAGATTGATTCAAATGGCCTCGTAAACCCTTCCTGTTCTCCCCTGGAGCAGCGCAGTTCAGCGCTCGGCAGATCGTTTTCGCGAATTACTCACTTGGTCGATTTCGAGAACCGCTATTCCGCACCGCAGGGCGCGGCCCCCGGGGCGGCAGCTGCGCTTGTGGCCTCGGCGCTGGGGCGCGGACGCGTTTGGCGCTGTCGGGACTCACTTGCTTTAGGGAGCGACACCACACACGGCCGCCCACTTGGCAGGTACTCAACACGAGGGATTATCTGGGAAAGGGCCATATAATCTTGTTCTTTGAATATGCTGTACGAAGTACCCAAGCTAGTTAAAACCTCAAGATTTCGATATCCTAGACCCTATTCTAACACCGAGAGGTCCGAAAAAGCTTTATTTTTTCTAAAACCGGTCTTAAGTCCTATAGAAAAACACGTAAAAATACGTTTAAAAACAGACGTATGGTCAAATGAAGTTCACATTACTCAACACGAGGGGACTGGGGCTTTCCTGTCACATGAAATGTTGATAACTGAAGTAATTATTATTACTTATGAGTACACAAAACAAGAAATGGAGTTCCAAATCCTAATTATTTTACATAAATATTTCGCAACCTAGTATCTGTATAGACGGCCTATCAGCAATATGATTTTTAATGTAACTTCAAACTGATTCGATGGGATTGAGATCGGTACAGAAAACTCGATGTTGAGGCTTGCGTTAATTTGGTGTTGTCTTGGAAAGAAATAAGTACAAGAAGCCCCGCAGCGCAGCGCAGCACTCGGAGACGAAAGGGGCAGGGCGGAGGGCCTTCATGTGTGCGCAGGGCGCTACCGCGAGGTGCGCTCCATCCAGCCGCTGGGCGCGCCGGAGCGCGAGGGCGCGGCGTGGGCGCGCGCCGCGGGGCCCGACGCCGGCTGCGCCTACCTTGTGCTGGGCTTCTGCGCGCGCGCGCCGCCGCCGGGCGCCGCCGCGCTGGCGCCCGCGCTGCTGGCCACGTGGCGCGACTGGAGCGGCGCGCGCCACCTCTACCTGCACCTGCCCGACGAGCTGCGCCTGGCGCGCGTGGCGCTGCTGCAGCGCGTGGACGGCCAGGCCCGGCCGCGCCCGCCGCCGCCCTTCCAGTTCCTCGTGGTGGCCGCGTGCCGCTGCGCCAGCTCGCCGCTTCTCCAGGTCCTCACTACTACAATCATAACAATAAGCAGCGCCTCTTAGTTCGTAAGAGAAGGCCAGAGATGCAGCTGAGAAAGCTGATCCCATTATGACGCAAATTAATTTTGTTATACTTTTTAAGTGATGACGAGGGAAACTGGAAATTCGAATGAACACTGGTGCGGGCGCGCTATTGAGTAGGGTGGAACTCTCCCCCACTAAAATCACGAACCCTTTTTCCAGAAACGGGGGAACCACTGTTATTTCGGAATGGCGTCTTGTCGTTTGCCCTCTTCTCGCCTCCTCTTCTTTTTGCCCATTCCAGTTGTTCTTGTCGTGGTGTTTGTTCTAGATTCTTGGGACGGAGTACCTTCGACACGGAAGTAAATATCTCGCCCCGACTTTCTTCTCTGATAACCCACATATCAAAGATGTTATGAGGAATTATAGCTCCAATCCGTTCTTCTAGTTTCCTTATGGATTCTGCCCGTCTCAGACGCAGACAAAAAATGTGTGCTCAACAGCATCACAGTCTACGCATCTTTCTTCATCCAACATCTTCTTTCTTCGTTCTTCATCTGGAGGAGGCATTTGTGGAAAGATACGCATCCGGTTAGATGACAGGAGGCTTCACTCGCTGAAGCCCAACCCAAGCAGTTAGCGATGGGGCGAGTCTGCCTGTCCATCTTCCTCCGCTTTCATTTTCCCATCAGCCACTTCTTCATTACGAGGGCTCTGTCAGTGTATGGGCTCGCCGGCCTCCCAGTTGAGCCTTCGTCCGGAGGATGGCTGACCTGACCAGGTGAATGGGGCGACTCCCTGTGCCTGCTTCCTTTGCCACAGCGTCAGCCGCTGGCTGTCAGCCTCCTCGGCGCTCAGCTCCCGCAAATCGATCCGGCCCGACTTTCGAAATGCTTCACTCCTGTGCGTGTTATCGTCCTCTATTTCTTCGAACAGTGCAATGAACTTCCATTTTCGAGCCTTTCCTTTCAAAGTAGGTTGAATATTACAGATCGTACGTAAGAACAACAAGGTTATGAATGCAAAGTTTAAGATAAAAGGCTGATTAAACCCCCATACCTGACCGTTTGCCTTTTTTCATATTTAAACTCTGTTTAGAAGTTAAACTGATTTGGAGAAAAGCGTCCGCAGTTTAAACTAAAGCAGAAAACACGTTAAGCTGACACTCCTCTTAAAGCGACTTGGAGAAAATAGCCATAAGTATTTCATATTAGATTTGAAAGGTTCGTCAAACTCTATAGTTGAATTAAATTGTGTATTTAGTGTGAGCACTGCTAAACTCCAGAATTTTCTTAAATAATACAATCGACCGGTTCTATGAGATTAGTGATCATTGTACTTCAGTGTAATTGATATAATATATAAATCAAATTTTTTATCAAATTTTTTACAACATTGTGTAACCTAGAGGTAACATTCATAATAGTTCTGAGTCCTCGCTGATATATTTCTTTCCTTGCTGTTTTCTCTACTCTACAGTACGTCAGCAATTACTTTTTTTCCTTGTACAGGTACACATATTCGGATTTGTATACGTACTACTATAGAAAAGGTTATGAAAATGTGCAGAAAATCGATTTCGATACGATGTTTTCGGATCTTCAGAAACCGAGAGTTGTTTTCATCAACACGTCCGTCCATTCACCCGTCGGAATTGAAGTGGATCCCACACACAGAGCGTGAGCCTTGAACGTTTTCTCGTGAAAGAACAAAATTCCTGAATAGCTGTAGCGTGCGCTCCGGGCGTGTCAACTGCTTGAAGAGTGGACGCGCTTACTGGCGCGGGAGGTCTGGCGAAGGCTAGAGGGCGAGCGCATCGCTCCGACTTGCCCCTCCACCCGCGAGGCAGGCACCGGCAAACAATCGAATAGGGCTGCCTACCGATACATTTCTCCGAGAGAAAATGGTTAAAATCTGTCCAGTTCATAAAATCCGCTTTCGGGCCTCGAAGCCCGGCCTGCGATGCTACAGGAGCGGAAGGCGTTCGCGCTGAGGTGTACGTCAGAGTTATGTACTAACATTGTTTTTTGTCTGTGCGCAGGCGCGCCTTCTGGACTTTGCGCAGCGCCTGCGCGCGCAGCGAGTGTCCGCGGCGTTCGTGAGCGTGTACAGCGCGCAGACGGCCCGCTCCGTCGCCACCTTCTGAGCTGCGCCGCGCTGCCTGCGCAGAGGCGACCAACTCCACGGAACAACAAACGAGTCCAAGTCCGAGAGATACTTCAGTCATTGCGAATTAAGCTTCTTCTTTTCTGTTCGACTTGGTCACATCGAAGGTGGTGCGAGAGCAGAGATTAGAGATTGGAAAATGTGGAAAGAAGATTCTGAGACATTAATTTAGAGTGAAGCCAGGAAGGAAGTTAGAGTAAAATATTAGTCTATCCCCTTCCTCCGTTAGAATTTTTACAAACAAAAATTATACAAACCGAAACTGATAATAATATATTTCTTAGAGAACAATAGCGTTCAAGTACTAGAGTTCAACTATTGCAAGAGAAGGCATAGAGACTTAATACTCAGCTTGCACTGTATTATATAGGGAGTCGAGGTGGTCCCCTCATGTTCTATCCACAACAGTAAAATTCGTAACATTGACATCAATACTGTCAAAATTCATTACATGACAATAAAACTGAGATATTGATCAACTTACGTCAATATTAAGACAATAGATATTTGTAACAGAAAAATATAAAAACCGATAAACATTTTCAACGCATATGGATTACAGATGAGACGATATTATTGTTGGTGTAGAAATTAAAAAGAAATAAAATTTCATGGAGTAAATTTAATAGAACAAGTCAAAATATAAAGGTTCTTGATGATAAACTTTGAGAAGCGTTTTTAGAACAGCATTATTAAATTAATTTGCTGCAGAAAGGTAAACTTATAGGGGAAAAGATGATTCATTTTACAAGAGAAGTGATATGAAATTTGATCATTGTCATTAGGTCGAAGAAAGCAAGTTCACCAAAAATAAAAATTAATAAAATTAATTATTTTTCCCAGTACGTCTATCGCATCTTATCTCTCCGCTCCACCACTTCGACTTCGTTTCGATCATGAGTACAATGTCGTGCAGATCATTTCAGTATTCATTAAGTGGAGGTACATGGACTACGGTAGGAAGAAGTACTGTATCTTCTTTACAAACTCTGCAAGACATCTTTTCTCTCTTAGCTTTTACGTTTCTTTTAACAAACCAATTTTATTGAATTCTCTAAAAGTACAAGACATGCTTTAAAGCTTGTTTTCTGCTTCTGGTAAGCATCCCCTCTCGTTGCGTCAAGAATGTTGCATTAGTTTTCATATTTATGCAGTTGTAAGTAGCACCTGTAAATCACGAGTTCTTTTGCCCAAAGATTTAACTTTAATTAGATTAATTTATTTAGTAATAAAATGCGTACATGTTGGTACAAATTTGCTGTATTAAGTGTTTTTTTACATTTTAATGAATTAGGAGATTGGTTATCAACTTTTGTTTTGGTTGATTCATAGATTAAAATAAAAAAACGCTATACTAATAAAATATATTTTACACACGTTAATACGTAAGCTATTTAGCTATTTATTTATGAGTGTTATCTCAGAAGTTGCTGATTGAAGGAAACCTAGGCGAGCCCTAATGCGAGCCCTTGATTGCAAGGCGCTGTTGCTTGTCGGAAACGACCAAAATAGCAGTTCTTTACAAAATGTTTGCGGGAGATTTATGTTAGGAAACGTTTTTTTATAAATCTACAAAGTGTAATGTTTACAAAAAATATATATTATTCTTATGTTACTTGGACAAGATTTTAAGCACAATATAACATTTGAATAACGAAGTAAGGTATGCATTGTATCTATTTTGTTTTAATTGTGCGGCAACTGGATTTAAAACTATTCGAAAACAAAATGAGGTCTCGGATTTGGGTACTTTCGTCTATAATATGTAAGAAACAATAATTAACTATGTTCTGAATTTCGGAATGTTATTCTTCCTGTAATCATAACACAATGTTATAAGTAAATTTGGAATTGTTAAGAGTAATTTTCACTTCTAGAACTTTCAAATTTAACAATTGAAACAACAAATAACAACAGATTTATGTAAAAACAATAATGAAATATAATAATGTAAAATATTTCTTAGCCAATATGTGTCATGTTTGTTTTTAATTTTTCTGTTATCCGTGCCATACGATACGACTTAACGGAAATCAATGGCTCCACAAGCACGAAAAAATTGAGAACCATTTCATTAAAATAACTCTCACGTCTTGTCAATTAAATGTACGTATTTCATATAATTTTCAAAACTAATTTTCCATTGCATACCGTATATTCCATAAGCTCACTATGTCAACATTTAAAAAACATCTATTAGCAGGTAAATAAGATGGGTAATATACTCGAAGTATGCTCCAAATAAAGTAATGCCGACCAAGAAGTTCTTATAGGTTGAACATTTCTAGAATTATATTATATGCTTAGCTTTTGTTCGCTGTTGTGGCAGCAACTTGTCATCAGTACCTGACATCACCAGGCCACCATGCATAGTTACTATAATTAACATTAATATGTTTAGTACATTTACAAGTGGCCATGAACCATAGGCTCGAAATATTAGCGAAACCAAGCGACTATTTCGATATGAATCAACTAATAAGATGCTAATAGAGCTAAGTGAAAGCTAATCACGCCACAAGACAGTGGCTAAATCTATTTACACAATGAGTATATACGACAAGGTACAGGATGCCTGTGCATGAAGAACTAACTTACGGGTATAAAAACAAAGACGCAAATCGTAAAAGCATCGATTTAAGATTGACCTACTCTTTAATATGTAAATGAAACAATTTACATGTAAGAAACCCTGTTATTTGTGTTTCGAAGTTATTATCTATAAGTCATATATTCTAACATGAAAGATGTACGTTCACTAACTAGGCGCTTGGTAATCTAATACAATAAGATTCATGAATAAACGTTCTGTTTTCCATTTTGTATGCGTCTGTTTTTCTATTTTAAGTGTTCGAGTTCCTTTTTTCCAAACCAGGTTTTATACACGCAAATTTTCTTGAGCCTTTGACTGCTTACCTTTACTCCTTTTGCAACAGTTGAATTAAGATCAAAATACTGCAACACGCGTTCTTGAAAAAATCTGACAACCTAGCATTTTCGCTTTCACGTAATAGAAACTTCCTTCAAGTAATAGATCTGATATAGCAGTCTGCCTATCGCAATAGACCAATCCCCGCTCCTCCCACCCCCAGAGGAAACAACTCAACACCAACGTGCCTCAATTGCACCGCCAAATTCAGACACCAACAAAAGCAACTCTAAAACTACGACCCTTCAGGTAAACACAACTCACTACCTCCGCCCCTACACTCACAACTCGTGGTTTTCCTCATCTTTGATTTATTCGAACCATACCAAATTTTGAAAAACCAAGAAAATCCAATCACATACCAGCAAAACAATCAAAACACACACACACACAAGTGTAAATATGAACAACAACAACAACAACAATAATAATAATAATAATAATAATAATAATAATA